GCTTCTTCCGCCCCACCGCCTGTCCACACCCAGGGGCAGGGACGCGGGCAGCTGGTTGCTTTGACTTGCGGATTCTTGCCCTGGCCTGCCCACTGGCTGACTCATGGGCAGCCCCCGGCCCAGTTTCCTGGTGAGAGTCCTGCAGCCAGCTGGTCAGCAAGGCCAGAGAGGAGGAGGGTCAGTGGACTATTTATAAGAAGGAGAAGTCCTTCGTGCCAAGGCCAAAAGCCCCAGAGACCCGTGGGTGGGGGTGGGTGAACTTCCTCCTTATCCTGTCCCCTGAGCCTAGGGATGGGGTATCAGGAGGGCCTGGGCACAGGTGCTGGTCTGGAGCTGAGAAGTGGGCAGTACCCAGTGGCCACTGTGGGTGTCCAGGCCAGATGGGGGAGGGGGCTATCACATCCACCTCCCCAGGCAGGCCTGGCGCCAGCAAGGCGGCATGAGGGGGCGGCAACCCAGGCCACAAGGGTGAGACTGGCAGGGGCCTGGAACCTGCTGTACCAGCTAGGCCAGGCCCCCACCCTTCGTGGCTAGACCTTTCCCCACCCCCTGCTCAAACACCCATACAGAATCCATAGGGCCGGGACCCCAGTCCAAAATGCTGGTCTGCCCATAAACACCACTGCACCCTCTCAATTTGCCAACTCCTTCAACCCCTGCATAGAGAGACCCTTTGCAAAAGGGCAGCAAGTATTTGGTATTGTGTAAGTGCTCATCTCTGCATAGCATGCACAAAGCCCTGGGTTCAATCTCAGTACTAAAAAAATAAAATAGCCAGGTGTGGTGGTGCATGCCTGTGATCCCAGCACTCAAGAGGCTGAGGGAGGAGGATATCCACGAGTTTGAGGACAGCCTGGCCTACATAGTGAACTCAAGGCCAGCCTGAATTACACAATGAGACCCTGTCTCAAAAATGTAAGGGACAGGGATTTAGCTTATGGCTCCAGGCCTTCCTCGCAAGCACAGAGTCCTGAGTTCAATTCCCAGTATTGCAAAATAATAAGTAAATAAATAAAAAGTAAATGCCCATCCCATTGCAATTATCCACAGTACCTCACAGAGTACCTAACAGGCAGCTTGAGTTGTATCCCAACCCTAGCACTTGCAGCTATGGGACATAAGGCAAGTTCTTTAACTTCCTGTGCCTCATTTTCTTGTCTATTCAGTGGTGATACGAATAGCACACATTTGGCTGGATGTCTGGAAGCAGCCAGTGACTTATTTTATGCAACCCACTTAGAATGGTGTCTGGCCCCTGCTAAGAGCCATATAAGTGTTAGCTATTAAAATAATAATTACTGTTTCTCATTGTGTCTGCGTGTCCGTATGTCTCCTAGTCTCCCCATCTGTCTGCACGACACCAACCCTACCTCTTCCTGTCCCTTGGGCCATCTCTCCTTGCCCTGACCCCTGCTCCCTCCACCCACTCTTGCTCCTTAAACTGGGGTCATGCCTCTATGCCACTGCAATGGCCTGGCCAAGAACCAGGGCTCCCCCCAGCATGGCCAGCCTCAGCTCTGGCCACAAGTGACTCACTGTGGTCTCCTGGCCCATGGGACCTGCAAGTTGGCTTCCCAAGGTGCTGCCCCACCCAGCCCCCCAATGCTGCCCGCCCCACCCCCGCGAGCCAGGCCAGATGTCAGCTACAGCTATTAGCATGGGCAGGAGACACAGGCCTGGCAGGGGGCCTGCCAGACTCAGCGGCCTCTGGAATCTCCCTGAGCCTGAGGTGGGGGAAGGGAGTTATTCAAGCAAGGGGCCGAGAGGAGGGGTCACTCAGGGGTCCTGCAAAGACTGGGATGCCCCCAACTGCTTCTGGGATCTTCCAAAGCCCCTGCTGTGCTGGACTTCCCCTGCCCCTCAGCTCAGTTTCTCTTAGCCTCTTTCATTTTCTTTCTCTCTCCCACACTTGGTAAGTCTGAGGCTGCCCCAAAGGCCTGGGTGCCCTTGACCCTCAGCATCCCTCTACCTTAAGGAGCTTCTATCTTCCCACACATGGGGGGCCTGGGAAGCTAAGAGGGAGAGACTGGGCCTCTCACTTCTAGTTCTGGTGGTTCCTAGACTCACTGCTTGAAAGTCCCACCCTGAGTCTAACTAGAAGCCTATATAAACCTCCAAAAGGCTCTTCTTGAGGAAGGGGCAGCAGCTTGCATTTCCCCTTGTATTTTCTGGCCGCTCTGGGCTAAGATGGGAGTGGATCCCCGGCCCATAGGGGCGTGGGGGAAGGGAAGGGCACCCTGCCCGGGGTTGGGCAGCCACGGTGCCAGCCCGCCCAGGCGCCGCGGAGGCCTCGAGGCATCAACCCGCCCCC